GTAATATTTGGGGTCACAAGTTTTTGCCATGGATATTTTGTGGGTCAGAAAACAAAAAGTTTGGGAACCACTGGTCTAAACTACATAAATAATCCTCTGTAAATTTATGCAAAGGTGAGTGTTGATGCATGTTGGGTCCTGCTCAGCTCTAGTGCTCCATCCACATCCATTGTGTATCCAGGTTGTCTTTGAAGGTGTGTTTCATAAAGAAAACCTATATTTAGTGTGGAAAAGGTCCATACAGTTGATATTACAACAATTTTTCACAAGATATTCAAATATTTCAAGGCAAGTTTTTCCATTTGGTTTACTGTCTTTAATTATGTTAAGATTTTTCATTGCCGCACATAGTACTTGGATATTTKCTGCTCCCTACCAGCAGGGGTCGCTGTGGGGCGGTGATGAAACGACCCCCGGGGGAGCAGCTACGGTGTCCGGAAGAAGTACAGTCAGCATGTAGGATACATTTTTTTTTCATGCAATGATTTGTTTTTATAACGTAGCATTTATTTATAATATCTCGGCATTAGTAGTGAGTGATTAAAACCCTGCAGAGCACGATTCAGGCGCACTGCAGCGGCTCGGATCTGAAGCTGCTCGTCCTTGTGAGGCTCGTCGTGACTTGTGACCCCCCCCTCCTGTTGTGAGTTTTTGTCTACTCGCTGTTGTGCCTTTTTATTCGTTTTAGCTCTTTTGTTTTCTCTGCATCCATAATACCCGATATGCTCTGTAGAGTATGCTAAAGCTGGAGCCATCTTTGGACAGAAATAGCCGTCGTTAAACTGTTMTATGGTCGAGCGGGGAGTTTAGGACCACAGGGGCGTAGCGCGGCCATTTTCTGAGGGGCCACGGCAAAACTCATCCTGCGTTATTTTCACAGTGCTGTTTAATAAATTGTTAATAAACAACAAACATGCCCATTAGGCTTTTAAGACAAGTGAGGTATCATAATTTAATTTTCTAGTTAAAATCATGAACATTAAATAAAGTCCTGGTAATGTATTTTTATTTCATGATTATTAGTGTGCTGATAGGAATGTTCTGTCAGACCCTTAAAATGAGAGCAAATTATGTTTAAATCCCCATATCAGACGTTCAGTGAATGATATTGTGAAAATAAAAACGCAGACCTGTGATGTGGTCTTCTATTCACCATGGTCTGCAAAATAAACTGCTTTAAAAAGGTTCAGAAAATATATATACTTGGCACAAATAGTAAGGAAAATTGTGTTTGGTAGATTATTGTTGTAACAATGCTTCTTGGCAATAAATTTTATATCTTTGGCCTGTTAGTTTCCCTTTTTAAATGGGGTTACATTTGTAAGGAACATGCATTTGTGGGATGAACAGTAAAGCTGAGTATGTGGGTTGTGCACGTGAACAATTTGCCATACACAAATTTTATTACTCATTTTAAGTATATATACTTAGAATGAGTATATGTATGTATGTGTGTGTGTGGCGGGGGGCGGGGTCAATGTCATGGTTAGACTCTAGAAATGATATTACAGATTTTTCACGTTGAAGAATTAAACATGCCTAATATCTTGTTGCTATTAAGCCATGTATAAGATATGAATGTGTTTTGATTAGTAAAAATGAAACAACTTAATTGAAAATCAGAGCAAAAATTGATAGCTCAGTGGTCAGTGCCGCTGTCTTGTAATCCTGAGGCTGCAGGTTTAAGCCCAGGTTGCATCAGGATTCATTTATTGCCATATGCAGATTAACAAGAGTCAACAATGCAATGAAATTTTTAGGATGAGAAGAAATCCTTCGACTCGCTATAAAGAATAAAAGTAAAGATAATACAGAATACAAAATTCAGTTTGCAGTAAATGCACAAAGAGTACATAAACAAAAATTAGGGTAATATATGCAGTGTAAAGTCAAAATGTCGAACAGCAAATAACTAAATARCAAAGAAAACAACAACAAAATTTGGGTAACAGAAATAACAGAACAGTGCAGGCAGGGTGCACAACATATATACATATGSTGTTTCACCGATGATAGGAAGCACGTCTGGCGTAAAACATTTGCCAAATTCTTTGAGTTTGCTCATTGTGACAACCCCTGCAGAAGGCGAGCAGCTGAGAGAGAGAGAAAATATCCTAAATATTGAATGCACTTTGTAACAATACTCTAGCAGTAATTATATGGATTTGAAATTTATTCCTAAATTAAATGGATTTAAAAGCTGCTTTATTTGTTGGTTTGTTTGTTTTGCAGTTTCTAAAGATTGTCCTGAGTGTCGTGAAAACATCTGGCGTTTGAAGACGTACCAAAAATGGTGGCTTCCTAACTCAACTATTCAAAAACAAAGGAAAATAATTAACCTCCTGTGGCCAGAAGACACAAAGCAACCATGTGTGAAGTTCCTGGTGAGATGGATCTGGAGGAGACAAAGGAGAACATCACTTTATTGCCCCTTCCAGAACCGCTGCTTATAATCCTGTCTCCACCCCCACCTTTCCTGCCGTACCCAGGCGAGCCGACCATGCTGTGGCTGAAATGGCTCAAAGCTTTTGAACACTACATTCAAGCTCTTGGTGAAAAAGAGCTGGCTGACTCCACTAAGCTCATGCTCTTACAGAACTCCCTCGGCTCGGAGGGAGAGCATGTCTTCTCGACTCTGATCAAGAGTGAAACTACGTACGCAGCTGCCATTTCGGCACTGACCGATCACTTCGGACTGGATCACCCCTCCCAAGTGCACCGCCTCAAGTTCCACCAGAGGGTTCAGATGCCTGGGGAGAGCGTAGATGAGTTTGTTTCAGCACTGGAAGATCTGCTGAGACCTTGTAACTGTGGAAGCATAAAGGAAAAACTTCTACTGGGTCAGCTGATTGAGAAAACAAACAATCTGCAACTCAGAGAGACGCTGCTGATGAGAAAAGAAACCCTGACTCTGTCCTCAGCACTGGCTATTGCTAAAGAGCTGGAATCTGTTACAAATGACTCTCATTTGGGTTTTCATGAAGTCAATGTGGAAATTGGAGAATATTTAGATCCCCCTGTTCCRATAAAACGCAAAAGAGGTAGGCCTCGTCGTGGGGAGGAAAGGACTAAAACAAAGCCACAAGTGACTAAAACGCGAAAAAAWTCATCTAGACTCAAAGATGAATACTACTACGGTAACGATAAGCTTTATTACAGTGAGGGCGAGGACAAATCTCAAGCTGTGGATGAGAATAATTTGAATGACACTAAAGTAGTCGATGATAATTACAGCACCCCGACAACATTACTTATGAAAGAGGACGATGACAACTGTGAAGAATCAGTTCGTTCAACAAAACGAAAAGTCCATTATTGTCCCTTATGCCCCAACAGACGCTTCAACAATAAAAACAAGCTCACCAGGCACATGAGGGCTCACACGCAAGAAAAACCATTCAGCTGCCCAACCTGCAACATGAAGTTCAGCCAGTCCTACCACATGACCCGACACATGAGGAACCAGCACAACGCGGGCCAGTACGTCTGCTCTACCTGCGGGGAGACCCTCGGAAGCTTCGCCGAGTTACAAGAACACAACAAGACGCACAAGTCCAAAGCTCTCTCCTGTCCAGAATGTAATGAAAAATTCACCTACAAGAACGAGTTTTGTGATCACGTCAAGTCGCACAAAAACGACTCGTCTTCTCAGACGCAAGGTCWGAGTTCTCAGCCGTCTGTTCCAGTGAAGCGCAAAAGGGGGAGGCCTCGTCKTGGGGAGGAAAGGGTTAAAACACAGCCATGTGTGACTAAAACTCCAATAGGTTCAACTAGACAATATGAAAATGACAGTAATGATAAGCTTAATAACAGTGATTGTCAATGCAGATCTACGTCTGTGTGTGWGAATAATCTGGATTGTAATAAAGCAGGCGATGCTGATGATAACGGTACCTCATCAACATCGCAAGTGACGGAAGAGAGCGACAGCATCAATACTGAAAACTTAGCCCCTTCTCTGAAAAAACAGAAATGCTTCTACTGTCCCTTTTGTATCAAGCACTTCAGCAAAGCAGACAAGCTCAGCAGACACGTAAGGATTCACACGCAGGAGAAACCGTTCACCTGCCCAGTCTGCAGTAAGACCTTCAGCCAGCCCGACCACATGACCCGACACATGCGAAACCAGCATGCTGCAGGCCAGTACGTCTGCTCTACCTGCGGAGAAAGCCTGGAAAGCTTCGCGGAGTTACTAAAACACAACAAGACGCATAAGTCCCAAGTTCTCTTCTGTCCAGACTGCAATGAAAAATTCACCAACCACGACAATCTTTGTAGTCACATCAAGTCGCATGCAAAGGACTCGCCTCCTCAAACTGAAAGCATTCAGCAGGCTGAGATAGCCGAAATGAAAACTAAAGAAACGCTTGACCCCTTTGCGCACTCATGTGACACTAATTTGAGCTCTGAAGAGTCTGGTTTTGAGCCTGTGACAGAAGATGAGGACTCTGATGAAGAAAGCAACTCTGATGAAGAAAGCGACTTTAATGAAGAAGACTCTGATGAAGAAAGCGACTCTGATGAAGAATGGACAGAAAACACTAAAAACACTTCCTCAAAGGCTAACAAACAAAAAGGAGGAGCAACAAAAGGACACTTTTGTCCTCTCTGTGCCAACAGGCGCTTCACAGGCCCGGAAAAACTGTCTCGACACATGAGGACTCACACACAGGAGAAACCGTTCGTCTGTCCAGTCTGCAGCATGAAGTTCAGCCAGTCCTACCACATGACCCGRCACATGAGGAACCAGCACAATGCGGGCCAGTACGTCTGCCCTGCCTGCGGGGGAGAGTTTGGAAGCTTTGTTGAGCTGCAAAGCCACAAAAAGACGCACACGGACCAAGTTCTGTTCTGCCCGAATTGTAACRAAAAATTCACCAACAGCGAGGAGCTTTGCAGTCACATCGAGTCGCACCAAGGCGACTCATCTTGTCAAACAGGAGGTCCRAGTAAAGTGGAGACCGAAGGAACACCTGACGCTGGCGCAGCATCTCGTGATGCTGATTCTAGCAGTAAAGAATCTACAGTTCAGGATTCGCCTGAAGATGACGCCAACGAAGCTACATCTGAGAAAGACGGAAGCAAAAAACAGAAAAAAGCCTCCTCAAAAACTAAATCCGAAGGCCACTTTTGTCCTCTCTGTGTCGGCAGGTATTTCAAAGGTCCAACCAAACTGGCTCGACACATGAGGACTCACACCAAGGAGAARCCGTTCACCTGCCCAGTCTGCACTAAGGTTTTCAGCCAGTCCTACCACATGACCCGGCAYGTGAGGAACCAGCACAACCTCGGAGAGCACGTCTGCGCCAAGTGTGGGAAAAGTTTTACCACCTGGCTGGACTTGAAAATACACAGAAAAAGCCACGCCGTGGAAGGCTTGACGTGTCTGGCGTGTGACAAACACTTCAAAGGGCGGGCTGCACTCGCCAGCCACCTGAAGCTGCACGGGAAGGTCAAGTCCAATCCCCGGAGCCTCAAGTGCAGCGACTGCGACAAAGTGTTCCGTCGCTCGTACCATTTAAAAAGGCACATAATGAGCCACCGCAGAGCTTCAAACGCTGATTGTTACACCTGCCCCGACTGCCACAAGAACTTCTTCTTCCCGGAAGACCTCAACAAACACCTGGAGATTCACGTGAAAGAAAGTAGCGGGACTTGTCCGAAATGCAACGAAACCTTCGGCAGCGCAGAAGAGCTCGAGGCTCACATGGTGGTTCATAACAAAACGTACCCCTGCAGCATCTGTGGGAAGAAGTTCAAGGTTGAGTATGCACTAAAGAAACATGAACARAACCATCAACATGAGCAGTATTACTGCTCCATGTGTTGCAAACACTTCCCCAAGGTTTCGCACTATAAGAGACACTTAATAGTCCACGAAAGACGAGAAAATAAATGTCCACACTGTGACGGTGTGTTTTTGAAGTTGACAGCCTTTAAGTATCACCTGCGGACTCATACTGAAGAGAGGCCTTACCAGTGCAGCTGCTGCATCGAAACATTCGAGGAGAAGGAGGAGCTGGAGAAACACTGCCTCAAACACAGAAAACTTAAAAAGGAGAGGCCGTACTCGTGCACTCGCTGCGACTACGCTTTCTCCACGCTAATCGAGCTGACCGAGCACATGGGTTCGCACGAGGGCGAGCTGCCAGACACCTGTCCCGTTTGYGGCAAAACCTTCCTAAACAAGAGCAAGCTGGAGAGACACCTGAACGTCCACAATGGCGAGAGGCCTCACCTCTGCTCCATCTGCGGCAACGGYTTCACCTCGGCCGCCAGCCTCAAGCTGCACAGCATCATTCACACCGGAGAGAAACCCTTCCAGTGTCTGGAGTGCAGCAAAAGCTTCCGATCGTCCAGCGGGCTGCGGCTGCACAGCCGGCAGCACATGGACGAGCCGCCCAGCTACGATTGTCCCGAGTGTGGAAGGACTTACGGACGCATGACGGAGCTGAAGATGCACCAGCGCTACCACACGGGAGATAAGCCGCATGCCTGCACCTGCTGCAACAAACGCTTTATAAGCAAAGACAAGCTGAATGTTCACATGAGGACACACACCGGGGAGAGACCGTTTTCCTGTCCCCACTGTGGACAGACATTTACACAGACTGGGGACAGAAACAGACACATCAGTAAATTCCACCCATTATTGGAAAACACCTTTAGTGATTTACCTGATGTAAAGTTTTAAGGGTTTATTTTTTTAAATATCACGTTAGGGTTTTTGCGTGTTTGCAGACATTGTAAGCACAACAAATATATTTAGATTAATTATTGTGTTACTTGAGGAAATAAAAAGGTTAAACAAAAATACATTGAAAGCATGACCCCATCAAACTTGCTGTATGCAATSTCCAGGTGTTTTTGAGGGTTGATGAGTGTCCAGCAGTGAACAGATTAATGAGAGGTGCACCACTTTCCTCATACAGATTAAGGGGGTTGTATCCAAAAGTGTCCATGTTCAGTTTCTGGGTTGTCCAACATGACAACTCATTTGAAAACTTTGTCATATTAACATTATTTTTCCCAAAGTGTGATTTAGAAACATGTTAGCTGTTATCCTTGTTAAGTCATGATGTCCTTATATTGGTTTTCAGTTTAGATTGAGAAAAAAATGAGTATAAGCATTTTTCTGTGGCTGTTCAGCTCTGGATTATCACAAAGTACTTCATGCTGATGAAAAACTGCTAACATCAAGCTTTTTTATGAAATCTGGCATTCCCCTATTTTGTTCTTTAATCTGTCCTGTTAMGTTTTAAGATGTTTTTTTGCTCTAACACACTTTTAAATTATTGAATTAGCTTTGCAGGATGCCATAAAATACTGCAGAAGGCTGTTAATGACCCATTTATTTAAATCAGGCRCGCGGAAGCTCGGAAACATACAAAATGTGCAGAATAGCAGGCCCAGAGTACCAGGGTTGGTGACCACTGAATAGGAGTCMCGGAAAGTGCAAATCCTGCACGAGTAAGACTTATAAGAAAAATGTCATCACACAGTGGATAAACATTCTGGTTTTTAGTTCTTAAGATGTTTTGTGATTTTAAAAAATATATAGTTTAGTGGCTGCTTGTATCCAAACACATGAGCTTAGACCTAAGACCTGTGTGAACAAAGAGTAACAAAAAAGGGAATACAAATCTCAGAACATCACTTTTATGTACTTCATTCTGCAGACTCATTTCATAGWGTTCTGATTTTAGACGGTTTGAACAATATGTTGTGTATCGCTAAGTTTATCGGCTGAGAAAAATCACACAGCTAAATATTTGTTTATACATGTGAATATATGTAAAATCTGATGTTTACAATCTATTAGCAGCAACACTATTGAAGTATTTACACTCAGCTTTTTAGTGCAGCAAAAATTTATGTCAGCCTTTATTCTTTGATTTTTATTTTTTTAAAGCTTATTGATTATTGTCTGTCACAGTACTTGGCATTAAATTGTGTGGGATGACTTGTTCCCATAATATCCATGTGCAGAATAAGCATTTGGGATAGCGGGATGGTTTAATGCTTTTGCACTGTTCTCTAATCATTTTACTGCCTACTTTGAAGAAGTCTATGAAAAAAAAACAAATAAATAAGATGTGCATGCTGGTTTATTCTGTGCAGCTAATCTTTCTCAATCCTGTGCCTATTTCCTTTTCACTCAGCTTCATGTTRGTTTGCATTGTTTTATAAACTGGGTGCAAATTACTCTCAAAGAACCCAAATTAAGATTGTGTATATAACTTTTTTATGTTATATCAGCATGTATAATCACACTAGTTTTAATCACTTTGATATTTTTGTTGGACCTTTTTCTTTTTGTAAGTGATTTGTAATTGTGTTTAGAAAAGTGCTATGAAAATAAAACTAATATTTACTCTGCCATTTTCTGCACTGTGATCAGAATGTAAGAAAATGTAAGTAGGATATTAGTGGATGACTCAGTTAAATATAATTATGGGAATGATCAAGATTGAATCATGTTAARTTTTAAACTACTTTATATGTAATAGTTACACACCCAAAAAGAAAATCTGTGAAAGTTGTGCTGTAGCCGAGTGGCTACAAATGCAACTTTTACAAATGTCAGATTCAGGCAGTAAAAAGTGCAAGTTAAAACGTCCACATGGGGGCGGTATGAGCTATTCAAGCCAGGCCATAAAACTTAAAACGTGTACTAGCAAAAAGCTTGGTGTGTGTTTCATAAAAATATATTAGGAATCATGCATTGACATGAATGCTTATTTTATCAGTAGTTATAATGACTTTAATACTCAAAAAGATTCAGCGTTAGTTAACAAGCATTTCACATCCAGTCCGATAGGTGGCAGCACTTCCTGTTTGCGTCAACATTTGACTTCCGTAATAAACAAGGCGACGCTAGCCATCTTTACGAGTTAACTCGTAAGCCACATTTTTTTCTGATTATTTATGTTCCTTATTAACCTTATATATTTATTCGAATTYACTTAAAGCTACTTCACCAAGCTTAAGAATTTAACACTGGAAGCTGTGTTGACTAATCAATTATCAGGGATTTTGTGGTAATCATGCTAATTAGCATTGGTAGCACGTACGTTAGCTCTTGAGTGTCATGACGGCATTTCTCCTTATTTTAGCCAAACTTCAAAAACAGTTGTCTTTGACTAAGTTGTAATAACGGAATTATTTTCTAAATCTGGATAAARCTTGAGCCGAGGCTAGTCCTAATGGCAGCTTTAGGTTTCATTCCTGCCACAAAGCAAGATGCTTTTAGTATTCGACCAGATCATTCTAGGTCTAAAGTTAGTTGTAGTCTTAGTGGAGAAGAGGCCAAGCAGTTCTATGAAGGTTTGATGAAAGACAGCAGCGCGCAAGGTGAATCAAGGACCAGTAATAAAGTTAAAGGCAGAGTGCGTCGGGTCCGAGAAAGACAAAGAAGAGTCCGAGCTGTACAARAACATCAGCAGACTCAAACTGAGCCTGTGGTGCAAAGAGGAAGTTCTGGTGAAAATGATGGCAACCAAAGCAGAGAGGTGACCCTGTCAGAAAGGACCATGGAGCTGCTGGGTCTCAGGTTGCTGCGTTGTGCTCATGAGGGGGACATCTCTGGTGTCAAAGAGCTTCTCTCTAAAGGGGTCGACATAAACTTCCAGGTGCAGTGCTCAGTATTTTTATTTTGTTTTGAACATCGATAAAGTATTTGTATTTACACTGTGTTACTTTCTATTTTCAGGATACATTTCTTTGGACAGCTGTGATGTGTGCCAGCTGGTCAGGACAAAGAGCTGTGGTCAGGCTGTTACTGAGTCACGGTGCAGCCTGGGTTGGAGTGGTGGATACACAAGGCAGGGACGCCCAGGACCTGGCGTTGGGAGGTATCATCAATCAGCTCTGAAAATACAAGCATTTTTTAACCATAACAGTATGGCCACACAGCTCATCAATCAAATCAACACATGGCCTCACCTCTGAATTCTGCTGTGGTGTGCCAAGCTGACAGCAGCTGGGGCCTCATTTATAAAGGATTGTGTAGAATTCATGCTAAAAGTGAACGTACGGCCAAAGGGCGAAAATGGCATATACAAAAAAGAAAAGAAAAGAAAAAAATCTGATTTATAAAACCTTGCRCGCGCACACCTTGAAGCAATTTTCATTTTTTAGATCACAGCTGCACCTCAGAGTTTGCACACAAGATCCCCTCTCAGGTTTTGCCCTCTACACACCCACATTCAACCATAATTGGGTCAATGCAAAGTACCTCATGAATGTTAACGTATGTTTAAATGAGTCAGCTGATCAACGTCAACAAAATCGATTGGCCGGCTCAGGCACGCGCTCCGCCGTGTGTCAGGAATGATGTGCTGATGACTGCTCACATTAACAGATTGTTCATAATTTACACAGATTTCCCTCATTTTGCAGGTATACAGACATTTAGAGCAATCTTTTGGATCTTTTCAAAAACTCAGCTTAATTTTTTTTTTTTCTCAGAGCATAGGACGCAAAAAAATTGTAAATTAAATTATATTTATCCCCGCCCCCACCCCCCACGGACTTTCACACTTCATATATATATATGGTTGAGGGGTATGTTTTAAATCTTATGTGAATCTGAAATTTCCTGCTTCCATCAGTTCTTCCTTTTTTCTTATTTTTCCCCAGCGGGCCACAAAGAAGTGTTGGAGGAGTTATTGAACTACGGCAGGAGTCCACGAGCAGAGGAGCCATCCGAWAGCAGGTTAGCACACCCTCATCTGAGGAGAATAACAGCAAATATTAATGTGTCTGTGTGGTTAATAAATAACCTTGTTTAAACATATMTAACATATAGTTATAAAGCATAGTCATAAAAAATAGTACAGAACTAGTATAACCAGTACCTGAGTATCAGTAGGTTCCAGGTGAAACAGAGCGAACAGTTTTGTTTATTAAACAAAATTAATTCTGAAAATCTGACAATGAGGAAACTACATGCTTGATGCCCACACTTCTTTTTTTTTTTTCCTAAAACATTTCTTAAGACTAATTTAAAAACACTTTAACAGTTTAAAGCTCGGATTAGATTTCTAACACACCTACTCATTGAATAAACTAAAAAGCTAGATTGCATCAGTAATTTTCTCAGCCACCAGCTGCACCTCCATCACTTTGTTTTAGGATGTTTGCAGCTCTGAAACAGGGTTGAGCAAAATCGTATTGTGTGCAATTAAACCCTACACAGACATAAGCCAGAGCACAAGGAAAGCCAAAATAGGTGGRCCAAGGCCACAACGTCAGCTACATGCAAGTGCAGTTTTCATTTATTATCTAAATGCCCCAATTAATTGTGATGCATTTTTATGCCAATATTGCCCAACCCTACTCTGAAAATGTAAAGTTCTTTCAGTGTTGGTCATGGTGAATCAACCTGTAAAAAGAAATAAATGCATGGACATTGCTATGCTTGTTGAACCAACTGTAGGTTCAGTTCATAGACGTGAATATAGGTCACTAGACTAAGCCCCGCCCATCCCRTCCACTGGTAGCGTCTGTGACAGCATGGAGGAACAGAAACAGACCAAACAGGGCAACAGCTCACAGCCTCCATAGAAACTAATAGATAAACAGCAAGCTGAACTGGATCTGTTTCACAGATTATCAGTCATGTTTTTACAATAAATTAATAATTATGTTAATTTCATTCACCAATCATGTAAAACAGCAGATTTATACCAGAAAAATACATAATTTATAA